TGCTCTAACCGCGTTGACAAATATATTAACCAGTCCGGTGGAAGTCGATTTTCCAGCTGTTGCACGCCAAAAAAATTTGTACTTTTTTAGCTTGGCTGACTCTGACAAACAATAAATTAACGACTACTTCTCTAATTCGTGATTGGATCCCTCAGAAAAGTACACACATCTTTCTTAGCGCAACCTATCAATGTATTTTAACTATATTTTAAGTTAATTCTTCAAGGGCTTTCTTTGTTGAAAAAAAAATAAAATAACATTCATATCTGAAACTGAAATTTCATTTTTCTTCACAAACGAAGGGAAGATTTTATTATAATCAAACTTAGTAAACATATATATGGACACAAAAACTTTGTCAAATTCATGGTGAGAGTTGGATTCTCATCTTCTTTTTGGCAAATAAAATAAAACAAAAGAATCACAGTTTCAAATTTGGTCACTGATGTAAAAATAAAAAAGGACGAAGATTAAAATTTTAATAGGAGTCTCATGTCTTATGTGATTAGTAAATTTGGAGTTTAATACCAAACAAGTTTTTATATCTTAAAATCAGTATTTACAAACTCATATTTTAAAAATAATAATAATAAATTTCAAGTAAGATACCAAACAGGCCCTAAAATTTCAATCGAAATCTCACGTTTTATGTGATTTATGTGATTAGTAAGATTTACAGTACCTATTTTATGAAAAGAAAAAGAGAAGAAGAAGTTTTTGTTGACATAGCAAGCTTCACAGAAAGTCAGAAAGGCATCGATCACCGCCGTCCACTTGCATGCGCATTATAGTTAGAGCATATGCCAAAACAGTGTTAATTAATTGAGTTTGACTGTTTAATTTATAGTCAAGTCAAGTAAAGACAACCAAAATAGACACATCAGCTAGCCCCGATTATCGCTTATGTCATCAAGATTCTGATAACGGTCTAATTAATCTTTAAACAATGTATATGGCCTCATCCTATTTCCTCACCAAATGTATTTATTATTAATTAATTATATTTATACCATACCTAAATTCTTTCAATGATGTTTGGCAAAATAACTGAGAATTAAACATTTTAGGCAAACCGTTTGATAACTATTTTGTTTTTTATTTTTAAAATAAGGGTGCTTTTTTAAAACAACTTCAAAATATTTTCGTTTCTTAGTGTTTTCGTGTTCTTTTTTTCCTTTTATATGATCAACGTGCATTGGGAATTCTAGACTTTTTTTTCAACATTAGCAATAGAAATATCACCAAACGAAAAACTAGTTTGTGTAATTAGTAGATTGTACTTTCATCGCCATGCTAATTTTGTTAGTGAGCTACTGACCTTAGCACAACTCATCATATACGTTAGGTAAATATATTGCTTCTATAGGCAAGAATGATATACAGTAAATAAAGAATCACACAGAGAGAGTAGTCTTAAACCCAAAAATAGATAGATTAATAAAGTACGAGCACACAACTTTCGTATGTGAAACCAAACACAAAACTAGAAAATACCCAAAGATTGAGTCTGGCATTGCTAGCTTGAGAGCTTTGGTTGAGTCAATAACAGCAGCTATGTAAAAAGAATAATAATAAAATTACAAAAACACACAAATAATTGTCAAAGAACTCAAAAAGAATACGTGAAACCAAACACTCTCCCGACTCCCACCAAAAATTAATACAATAATAATCAATCAACCACTAGAAATAAACCAAATACAAATTATTTAAATCCTGATTCCAAAATAAAATAAAGATATAGATATCAAACACGCTTGTGTTCCAACTCCCAAATAAAATAAAATAATATAATATTTGCCTGCACCTTCACTGCATCAAAGTTTAATTATTATTAAATTAATTAAACTAAGGTTCAATTCAAAAGGCTTGAAAGCCGTTTGTTGACCCTCGAACATTTCATCACTGCATCAAAGTTTAATTATTATTTAATTAATTAAACTAAGGTTCAATTCAAAAGGCTTGAAAGCCGTTTGTTGACCCTCGAACATTTCATTTGCTCCATCCCTCCCTATAAAACCCAACTCTTCACACCCTTCTTTGTCACCACTCAAACCTCCACTTTCGCATCCAAAATTAAGACAATGGGTTTTTCTGCTACATCACTCACCGTCGATCAGGGCGACGGCGCTTCGATCTCCGCCGTCCATCCCGACATAATCATGGCCCACATCTTCACCCGCCTCGACGGCCAGACCTTGGCCTCCGCCTCCTGCGCATCCTCCCAATTACACGCCTTCTCCACAGAAGGAAAACTCTGGCGGGACATCTGCTCTGCCACGTGGCCTTCCGTCGCCGATCCACGTGTCGACGACCTCATTTCCACTTTCCCAGCCGGTCACCGCTCGTTCTACTCCGACTCTTTCCCGCTCCTCGACAACTCTCCCTCCCAATTCGATCTCAGCCGTCCGTCTTCACCTCCCACCACGGAGCTAATCTCCGCCGTCGATATCTTTTACAAAGACCAGCTGATTTTCTCCAAGGTTCAAGAGTCCGAGACCGAATCCGGGTGGTTCCTCTGCTCGCCTTTCCGGGTTGACTTACTTGACCCGAAAGAAACAGTTCCGACACCAATCCGCCAAGTCGGAGAAGACCAGGCGTCGCTGAAGCAATTGGAGGAGAACTTGAGTTTGAGCTGGATCGTGATCGACCCGACCAGGAAGCGGGCGGCGAATTTTTCGAGCCGGAGGGCGGTTACGGTGCAGCGGCATTGGTTGACCGGGGAGATACAGTTGCGGTTCGCGACGATTTTGGCTGGGGAGAAGAGAGGGGAGTTCGTGCAGTGCGGGATGGTGGTCACGTGCAATTGGAGCGAAGGCGGGGAGCTGCACGTGAGGGAGGTGAGCATGCAGGTGGAGGGCATGGAGGGGAATCATTTGAACGGGAGGGAGAGTTTGGTAATTTTGGAGAGGGCGATCGAGGGAGGGAAGAGGAGGAAGGAGGTGAAGGGGAAGGGGAGATTTGAGGAGTATTTGGAGATGAAGAGAGAGAGAAGAGAGAGAAACGAGAGGAGAGAGAAGACTTTGGACATGATCTGCATTGCCACTGGGGTTACTATTTTCTTCACCTTTTGGTCCTTCGTCTTGTTCAGATAGAGAGATGCATCATATCAACCCAGAAGCAAAAACAGTTGGGTTTGATTTACAGTTATTACAGTTTAATTCTTTAAACGAAAAAACAAAATTTCATATACAAAATGGATATTGATTATATAATCTTTTTTTTTTTTTTTTTACATATGTGATTATGTATGTAGCTATATACACCATTGGATTGGTTCAAATTAAATGAAAGATGTGCCCCTTTTTCTATTATAAATCTCTTTATTTACATATATGGGTCAGATATTTTTTGTTTTTTTTGTTTTTTGTGCTCAATAATGTCAAATAAATTAAGGACCAATTAATGATAGGCTAGTAATGGTCTATTACCTCACTTTCAATTCACAATTTAAATGTAGTTTTCCATTTTTTTTTAAATAAAAAAAAATCAATAATGTGTGTGAGATCCTTCTAGTATGTTCAATTAGTACATCATATTTTTAACCATCAGTTGGATTAAATGAAATGAAATGAATTGGTTCTCTTAATTTGAAGAAGAGTGCTAACTCCTTCTCCTACTCATCTTATCTTTAAAATTTTAAAGACAAATTTACCCCTTTGTAAAATTACTTCTAAGGACTTATGCCACCTCATTCAAATTTAATCCAACAAATTGGATATTTTTCTTAATAAAAAATAAATAAACTCTAATGAAACTTAACAATTTGAACCTTAACTCCTACCATTATTTACCTTTTTTTTTCTTTTCTATTTCCTATCTCTTCAACCTCTCCCCATTTCCTATTTTTTTGTTTGCAACATTTTCCCCAAACAAGGTTTTTTTTTCTAGTCACTATCTCCCTCAATCAGTTTAGTCTTCTTCTTATATCCGCAGCTTCTCCACCCAATTGCACAAGTTTGGTTTTTCCTTCTTCCTTCATAAACCCTAAACAAACTCTCCAAAACAGAAGAAAATTTTTTTGTACACTCTCTTTAAAATGGCTTAATTGATCCCTACATAATAATCAAATTCGTTCAAATTCAATTCAATTCAATTCAATTCAATGTGACCTTTCTTTCTCAGCCATGTGTCCTTATACGCCATCTACATTTGTCATTGCTTCCTATAGCCTCTCTCAACCAAGGTCTAAAATATCGATGATATCGAAAATATCGGTAGTCCAAAAACACGGAAATTTCGATGGAAATATCGGGATATTATCGATATTGATAAAAAATGAATAAAAACCACTTAAATTATAAGAAAAACTTGGAAATTTTTATTGAAACTTTGCAGGATGTTTATTTAGTCAATTATCTATTAATTTATCACAAAAAATTGGAAGGAAATGCATTGCATGATGAATTTAACTTATTTAAGTTGATTATATAGCGAGCTGACAAATACTTTGAGTGTAGAAAATATGTAGTAATTAATGAAAGAAGATTAAAAACACCATAATCATTTATACCTTCCCCCGATATAAACAGAGGTAAATTGCATTTGGCTATTTTTATATAGTTCGTATCTTTAATTTACAAAAAAATAGATCAAGGGATAAATTGACAATTATAACATAGTTAAGGGGGCAAAACGGTAGTTTATCCCTTTGTGTGGCAATAGTTGGCGTTACCAAGTGTAATTGGAGGAAATGAGTCATTTTTGTATTTATTGGAATGTCCAAGAAAACCTAGACCTCTCCAATATGCTTTTATTGTGCGTGTAACTACCCTTTTCTAATTTTTATATTTTAATGAAATTTATTTCTAAATAAGAATTGTAGTAAACTAATTACTACAATATTTTACACTTTATACATTGCATGGTAAGATACATGAGTGACTTAGTATCACATAGAGTTCCTAGGATGTTCAAAATTTTCACTATCTTCATCATCTCTATGTGTAGAGTAAGTATATTGTGAAGAGTAGTCATCAAATGATAAATCCC